AATGCTCTAGTATTTACTAGATAGGGTAGGCTGGTATATAAAAGAGGGGAATGTAATGTGTGTGTAGACAGTGAGTAATTGATCTGCAGTCAGAAGTATTATTGAGCACGTTCGTTGTTATAGCGTTTGTTTAGCGCGATTGTTGAAATTGAGTGTATCGGTAAAGTTATATTCGGAAAGAATAAACCAATTTTATTAAGTAAAGACTTGTGTCGTTAAAATTTCTTCGGAACGAAGTTACGGAAAAATCAATTAACAAACGGAGACGTAACAATATTATCATCACTCAGGCAAAGCATAATTTTCATAGCCTTCAATCTTGTTTGGTTAGAGAGCCATCAAATAGAAAATCAAACTTCTCTCTTGCTATACCCATTTATCACATCCTCTCTTTCAGGATTTGTCAATAATTTTGTCTTGCATTTAATGCTGTATTAGTTATAACCAATAGAAAGCCAAGGTTTTCATATATCAAATGACATATTATATTATGTTGTTGTCTGTACACAGAATTGTCAGTTTCTCTTTCAGTACAAGCTTCATTCCCACAGGAAACACATCAACTATCTTGGATGAATTTTGTTATGCCTCTTGTCTTGTAGTTAGAAAGCCAAAAACATTGTGATGGTAATGGGACATTGTCTGCTTTTTGCATTCTTTGGTGCATTATTTAATTAAATAAAAATTATCTAGTGCACTGCTACCATTAGTATAAAAAAAAAGTTAGCTTAAGTGTCATCGACAGTCAAAAGCAAAAAAAAGGCCCAGGTAAGTACTTTGTTTCTTGTTTTTCATGTGTATTCTTTATTTGTTATCATAAAAGTAATTAAAATGTAAAAATAGGAAACTCTTTAAGTTAGTTAAGGTTAGGTTAGGTAAAATAAGTAATATAAAAAAAATTCATGAGGCATGCATACAAGTAGCTCAGAGTAACTCATGGGTAATTTAATATGATAGTGTAACATGAGCTGCATGTACACCAAGTGATTTACAATTTATAATGGCACAACTAGTAGTTATATAGGTTCAAAGGGCAAAAAAGCAATCAAATGTAAATAGATGTATACTGTTATGAGTTTAAAGCTATTTAGGAACAATAAATGTAGTTTCATATTACAATTTGAAGTCATTGTAGAAAGAAAAAAAGGTAATTTAGATTTATTTTAATTTTTTTTGGTAATTACGAGGTCAGTCAAATTGACCAATCTGGTATAAAGTTAAGGTAGAGAAAATAACAGATAAAATATAAAGTTTTACTGAAAAAAAAATTTTTTGAAGTTTATTTAGGAAACATTTTTATATATGTAAATAAAATAACAATCTAAATTGGAACACAGTCTAGATTAAACTGGCTTAGTGAACTGGTAGAAAATCAATAGCTCCTGACAAAGCTGTAACAATAAAATATTGAGCTAATAAATTTACATTCTGGAGACCTAGGTTGTTATTTTATTTAGATATATAAAAGTCAGTCTTGTAATAAACTCCATTTTGCATTAAACAAAGTCAAGAATAATAATTTACTTAGGAGGTTTTAGAGATTATATGTCTTCTGACATACCAGATATACACTTGGCAACAAACTCCCTAGTTTTTGAATGTAAATTATTCTCTGGTATATCTAGATATAGGTATATGTGATTAGTACCCATTGGCTAGTCCATATCTTGTATTGAGCCCAGCAATGACAGAATCTATGATCTTACAAAATGTGTTACATCTGAATTTTGTCTCCTCTACAGATTCATTTTCTCCACAATTAGGCAAGGGGGCATCTTTATTTGCATCATGAAAATACTTGGAAATTGTTTTCCATTTTGCAGGCAGTTGTGGTAGAAGATTCATATTATCTGCAACAAATTTAGCTTCATTAAGAACTCAGTTCCAATCTTTCAATTTTTCAATCAGTCAACAGACTTTCAGTGTTGCTCACTTCATTATCAGTGGTAGCTTTGCAGGCCTGCAATACTTGACTATACTGATCAATGATCACAAGTAGCTTTAACCAGATTCCACATATCAAGGTGCATGAAAATGACTGCACATAGTCAGTTACACATTTGATTTCAGTTCTTGTTTGAGATGTAAGATTGAGTTGAAGCATTTCTGATAGTTCATTCATCATCCCAGGAAAATGAACTGCAAAAGGCCTGGCACTATCCACTGTGTCTCTCCATCGTGCTCGAGAAAGTCCATGAAGAGAACAGCCTATATTCTTCAGAATAATGCTCCAATGCTGTCGACTACAACTAAACAAATTGTAAAGCTTTTGAATTATTCCATAGAATGTCTTAGCCTCTGTGCATCTTTCAGCTGTTTATGGGCTACACAAAGATTGAGACTATGATAAGCACGTAGTGAGCATTTAGCCAGGGGATTAACGTTTAGTAATTAAGCTTGAGCACCATTATACTCTCCAGCCATATTGGACCCATTATCATATCCTTGGGTTCTGCAATACATTATTAATATTTCATGATCAACTAAATAATGAAGTATTAGATTAAAAATACCAGCCCCAATCTTCTTATTGCAATAAATAAATCTTAGAAACCTTTTTTAGATAACAAAGGAAGAACATTCTGATGGCATGGATACATACCTCAGGATAAAATTTGTCTGTTCTTGATGAGATGAAACATATGTTGCATCTACTATGATAGCAAAGTATTTGCTGCAAGTCCTTCCTCTAAAATAATGTGACATACATGCTGAGCACAGGTTGTTATGAAATCATTCTGAGACTCACCTGATGAATAGTGGGCTTGAAGATGGTAATCTGCTCACTGAGATTCTGCAACTCTCTCTACTTGCTCCCTTAGAACTAGATTGTAATGACTGAATATCTCAATTATTCTTAGAAAATTACAATTATCAAGTGCACCAGTCCTTTGTGATGATCCATGAAAGGCTAATAAGCTTCTCTCTCTCTCTCCCAAGAAAAGGACAATATCTATTACCCACTTATGGTATCCTGTCATTTGACTGCTCTTGAAAGAATATTCTTCTCAAGCTGCAAATCAATACAGGAGTTTGTCCCAAAATGTCTCTCAAGCTCACACCATTCGTTATAACATTTCTTATAATGAACACTTCTCTCGTGCATCAGTTAAACTGTAATAGTCGTAGGATATTGTTGCTTGTTATTATTCTGTATTCTTATATACATTTTTAAATATATCAAAAATATTTAGTGGATCAGAAGCACGACTGTAAAAGCTTGAGGCTTAAATTTCACCAAGGACTGACAATGAATGCTTGCAAGCTCGTGAGCAAGCCTGCAAATTATGTAATTAAATATGGTAGTTTGGTCTGAGCACTCACTGAGTGTTTTATTTATACATGGTTCAAAAGGGCAATAGAATAATAAAATTAAGTAGAAATAGATATAAAATGTTACAATTTTGAGTCATTCTAGAAAGAAATAATTAGTAGAGCTATTTCATATTTTTCATGGTGGTTACAAGGTCAAACAAATCTTAAAGGGAACATTTTATGAGAAAGTTAAGTCATGTGAAACTTTGGAAATGTAATCCTATGCCTCTCTCAGACCTCTAATAATCACATAAAATTTTAAATTGTTAATATTGATCAAAAACAGTGTTGTATAGCTAAGAAAGTACAATGATGTGGGTTGGAATACTTTACTTGGAGCTGGAATGGACAACAGTATTGTGACCACCACATAAAAGGGTTATTCAAATGAAAAACTCAGCTAACCCTTTATTGAATTACATACAATAAATTATCAAAAATGTGTTGAAAAATCTCATAATTTGGGAATACAAAATCAAAATTTCTCATGGTCAACTTTTGATAATTACACATGTAACTGACAAGTGTTTCTACTAGCTTGGAGAAAGTGGTATATAGGGTGAATTAAATGACATAACATTGTAATAGCATAGTGCAGTAGTCACAGTATTTTCTCATACAGTGCACTTTTGTCTTCTGACTGATGTTGTATGGTTGTGGCAGTACATATTTTAACTATCGGCAACAAATGATATTGTGTATAATATTTATATTATCTCTTTTATTTAATCGATTACTTTAAAAAAAATTTATTTCATCTCATGTCTTTTCTGAGCATGGCCAGGTGACTAGATAGCTCGACTTGCAACCTGTGATCCACAGGTTCAAATCCCCGTTCCATCAAACATGCTCACCCTTTCAGCTGTGGGGGCATTAGAATGTGATGGTAAATCCCACTATTCATTGGTAAAAGAGTAGCCCAAGAGTAGTTGGTGGGTGGGATCAATGAATTATAGGGGTGTAGCTAGGTGATCAAACATCTACCCTAATATTCTTAAAAAGTCCACTGTTTTCTGATTTGTTTTCAATTAATTCTTTCATGTAAATCACTTAAATTCTTTGTGTAGGAGAATTTGTGAACAGTTTTTTGGAAAAAGATCTCCCCACCCTGTATTGCTGGCTACACCTCTACATTACAAAAGTGTCACTTTACTTAATCATGTTGGTATCTTCAGAAAAATGTCATTTGACTCAACCATGGTGGGAGCTTCAGAAAAGTTTCATGATAGACTAGCATATTTGTAACTTTAGAATGGTTAGATGATACTCTGTAGCTTTGAGGTAATAAGCACATAATACTCTTAACATTTATTATTGTTTCTGTAAAATGAAATGGTTAACTTCTACATATTTTTTAGGGTTTAAGTGTAAAAAATTTTATTTGTTATTTTAAATTTTTTCTTTTTGAAATATTTGTTTGTATCCTTGCTCAAAATAGCAATGTTAACAGTTTAATAATAGTATTAAAAAGGCTTTGAATTATATTTTATGATGTATTGCCTAGAAAACAGCTCTTTGAATGTCAGAAGATAATACAATAAGATTTGTAAATTGTACATGTAATAAAAAGAAACAAGTCTTCTAACTTTCAGTAATCTGAGCAAGAATAAAACCTTAGATGTGCATATTATGTTTAATTCTGTAAATTTTATTGTGAATATTTTGGTTTATTTTTTCTACCCTAGAAAATGTCAACAAATGGACTAAAACTGTAACAGATGATGAGAAAGAACTAGAAAAACTAAAGGAAGCTGAATCAAAACAAATGCAGGTATTCAAATTCAGTTTTCTCCTGTTTTCTTCTCAGATTGAGTTTTTTTTTTTTTAGTAATCAGTTTTCAGTGTTTATGTATTTATAATTAAGCTTGTACTTTTAATAGTGAAGCATGTATTTTAAGACCTGTAAAACAAGGCCTAGTATCATATAGTTGGTGATAAGATGTGAAAAACATGTATAACAATATATAACCAAATATATCTATTAGTATTTATTAAACATTTTATTACTGATTTTTTTTATTTTTACCTCACAACTAAAAACAAAGTTTATTTGAACTATTTTAAACTGTTATCTACTATGAACAAGAATTGTTAAAGAAATTTGTAAAACAGCTGTCACTTGAGGCAAAAAGTATTTCATTTGCAAATTCTTACAGCTAATTGATGAGGAAATGCAGAACCTGGACAGATTAAAAACCTCTAAGATCACAAAGAAGACAGAGGTTGATGGAATGGAAGATGCAATGACAGAAGTACGTAAACGGTTGACAGCCATGCAGAAAGAAATAACCAGTGTTCAGAAGGTTGTGACTGGACTGGAGACTCGACTAGAGCAGAAGAAGGCAGACAGACACAGTCATCTCCAAGCTTGTAAGGTAGGAAAATATTGTTTATTTCATATTAAAGTCAGACCTTATGGAGGCTTGTTAAATATGTGTTGAAAGAGAAATTACTGTCTGATCAACACTGTTAAATTAAATATTCTACATATACTGGCAACATTAACACCAATTAATGTCAAAAATGAGAGTTGGCATGGCCTTGTGTTTAGGGTGCTTGCTTTATAATCTGTGAGATTAAAACCCTTAACAGAACATGCTCACCCATTCAGCTGTTGGGATGTTATAATATGATGGTCAGTCCCATTGTTCATTGAGAAAGAGTTGGCAGGTAACACTGGAGTAGCTTTGCTCAAAATTCACCCAAAACCATTAGATAATATAAAATGAAATAATTTTGTCATTTATCAGTAACATGGATCTTCATAAGATTGAAGCTACTGGTAATTGTAGAAATTCAAAGCTTCTGCATTTGGAGGAGTTAAGGTCACCAGTAAATACAAAATTTCTGTATTTACCGATGGTTTTGCAGTGTCATTGGGATATGGAGAAATGAATCATTCAAAGAGAATAACTCATCTTTACACACAGATTAGCTATTTTCTTCATGCATCTGCCAAAGAGATTTGCATTCCACTAGCCTTGAGGCAACTTCCACATAATTTCACATGTTTTAACATAAACTGCACTAGTGCATGTTGACATCATCATCATGTAGCGATAGCCCTCTACCAACAGGAGGGTGACATAACCTCATTGTGCAGTAGCTCCTCCTAAGCACTTGCTCTCAAAATAACTTCATTCTTAGATAAGGCAAGAAGAAAGTGCACCAGACATGGGGAAGATGGTGTATATAGGTGAGTATCTATCAAAAATACATTTTCAGATAAGGAAAATATTAACTTCCGAGACAATACCTCACCTCCATACATTGAAATAGTGGAGGGACCAGTGCAAACATTAAACCTAGATAAACTCCCTTCAGAAAGCCCCTGAAGGGAAATCCCATAGAGTGTGATGCCAGTAGGAGAGTAAAACAACCTCCATGTGCAATAACTCCCTCTATGCACCTGCATTTGTGGTAACTCCATTATTTTCTTTGGTAGTGAGTGACACAGATATGTTTAAATTTGCTGAAATTTGCACTTGTTAAGAAAACTTCAATTTTTGTTATATTTTGGACTTCACTTTGCTAATATAAATTCACAAGTTAATGTAACTTCTATTTACTTCTCTTTGAGTGAAAAAATTTCACACACAGGACCTATTTAAACTGTGGCATCAGGAGGATTATTAACTGATGACGATGTAACAGCCATTATAAAATGGGTTGTGTGTTCCATTATGTATGTTGGGCCTATTGTTCCCATCCATTCTTCTGGTGTCCTTCTCCTCAATTCAAATTTGAACCTGAAGGTGATGAATTCAATCATCTATTTCCTCCTTCTGGATTTGCTTTAGGTACCTCACTATTGATCAAGGAAAGCCCTGAACTTTCTACTCTATTTCAAGACTTAATCTCACAGCTGTGTTCTGTTCTTTCACTTTTGCCTGTGTCTTATATCACTTTGTGTTCCCTGCTTCAAAACCCAATATTTATGATTATTTCACTTTTTCTGCCACACCCTCAATGTTTACCTGATTTTCATGTCATGGCTTATAGCCATTCAAATTTTTCCTTTCTTGATTCCCAATCTTTGGAATCTCTTTTACCTGTTTGGGAGTAGACTCCTTATCATCTGTTTTGCTCTCAAATGCTCAATTTTCCCATCTTTATCTTTTTCTTACTACCCTTCTTCATTATCTCTCCTCCCTACGCCTTATGTCTAAGGCACTTCATTGTTCTCCAGATATATTTCCAGAGGAAGTTTGTTCCCTTCTATTCACTACTATGGCCCATACCACTTCATATGCTCTATCCCTACTTATTTAGTTCCTCTGCTATTGGGACTTATGAGGTAGGGATACCCTTCTCACTTAAGTATACCTTCCTACTTTCTTTCTCATTGATCTTTGTCATGTTGTCTTTCTTTACCCAGATGTCTTTGGTAGTATTCTTGATTCTTTTGAATCATGGATAGAAGCAGCTCAACATCAGTCCTCACTGTCTTCTTTGGTTTCTTGCCTTTCACAACTTTGCTCGTCTATTTCTGTTCCTCCACTCGGTCCCTCTATTCCTCACCTTTCCACTCTAAATTCTAGACCTTCCTCCTCTACCCATTCCCCCTCTTCTGACTGTAAAGTTCACCACTCGACTTGCCAGTGACTATCTTGTCGATTTGGGACCCATGGAGGCCTATCTGTTGTGGATTGCAGACCTCTTGTCACAATTTTCTACCAACAGATGGGTTCTCCAAGTTCTCATCCACAGACTGTTTCTCCTCTTCTCTTCTTTACCCTCTATCTTCTCATCCTGTTTCATTTCCTTCTCCCTCAATGTGTCAAGGTGGCAGTGTCAGATTTTTTGGGCAAATGCACCTTTGAATGAGTATTCAACCCTTCTTTGAGTCTCTGCACTCATATCTTTGTGGTTCCCAAGAAGACTGGGGACTGGCATTCAGTAATTGGCCTCTCATCTCTCAGTTGCTTTCTGGTCATTCCACATTTTTGGGTGAAAGAGTTTTTTTCATTGGTCTTTTTCACCTGAACCAAATGAACAAGGTTGACTTTTCAGATGCATTCCTTTACATTGTGATTCTTCCATCCTCTAGGCATTTCTATGTTCCATCCACCAGAATCTCATCTTCCAATTCTGTGCTCTTCTTCTTGGCACTGCATCAGCCCTTTACTTCTTCAACCACATTGTGAAAGCCTTTTCTCACCATCTCCATGGATTGGGCCTACATTTACATTTTTACATGAAAGATTGGCTTCTCTTACTTCTTTTCCAGAAAGGATCCTCCTTTCATACTTTTCTTCACCAAAAGACTGCTCATTTGGGGTGGCTTGTCAAGGTATCCAGGTCCTTTCTTGTGCCCACCTAATATCATTGACACCTCAAAGTTTTCTTCAACCCTCATCTCAGCTAAGTTCAGCATTCCCCCCTTTTCCTGTGAGCTATGAAGTATTTGGTCACCAAGGTTTCTGGGGACTCTGGCTTCCCTGGAACCACTCATTCCTTTAGGTTGCTCACACATGCAACTCCTCCAATGGACATTGCAAGACCAGTGGAATGTTGCATAAGATCCATTGGTCTTGACTGTCCATTTGCCTCCTTCTTTACTAGAGGAACTATTTTGGTAGCTGGGCCACTTCAAAACCACCTCTCTGAATGACAGTATGCTTTCAGGCCTTTGGTCAGAGGACTTGTGCTCTCTCAGACAGATGTGCTTGAACTACTTACTATCCACTGAACATGCTTCCATTATTTACCCTTTCTGGTGGATCATTTGGTCATGATCCATTCAAACAATTCAACAGTTGTTTCATACATCAGCCATCAAGGGAGCACCCATTCCAGGACCCTTTGTTTTCAAACTTTAGACCTACTTTTTTGGGCTCATTCTTATTGTATTTGTCTGATTGCTTGTCATGTGCTGGAAACCATGAACCTTGTTTCAGGCCACCTCTCTCAACCAAACTGCATTGTCTCTATGGAATAGTATGTATATATGTAGGATTTTTTGTGAGTTTGCTTTCAGTTGAGCACACCCTTCATAGATGCCTTTGCCACTTCCTTTCAACTCCAAGCTTCCTCTCTTTTAGTCTGCAGGTACTCATCCTTCAGCTCTTGCTGTTGATGACCTCAGCTAGGACTGGTCTCACGTTTTTCTATATGGAATATCCTTATTTTTGTCTTCTACCTCCGGTCTTCACCTTGATTCGTAACACCCCTTGCAGAGTCCTTTTGGTGGCACCTCTTTTCCCAGCTCAGTTTTAGTTTCCTCTGATCATTTACTTGGCAAACAGACTTCTTCTTCCTCTGTCTAATATCCCTCTCTTTTTGCTTCAACCTCACACATCTTTGTTTTATCAAGGGACATTGTCTCTCCTTCTTCACTTATGGGATTTGTCTGGTCTATTGCTTATCGAGCTAGACTCTTCAATGAAGTAGCCTTTTTCTTGTCTCATTCCTTTCACCCTTCTACTTTGTCAGTACATCAATGTAAATGGCATGTCTGTCATCATTAGTCTCTATGTCATTCCTCTTGTCCGGCCTACTATAAACCATTTTTCTACCATCTTGACTTGGTTATTCAACCATAGTTTATTGGTCTCTACCATTACTGGTTATCTGATGGCATTATCCTCAACATTTCCCCTTTCCTGGTACTGCAGAGTGTTTTCTTCTCCTGTCCTCTACTCGTTATTCTGATCTGTTCTTCTCTACTAACCCCCTTAACCTACTCTTATGCCTGACTGGGCTTCAGTATGGTTTTGCACTCTCTCATTTGTGGCCCATTAGAGCCATTGGCCTCTTGCTCTTTATACCATCTTTCTCTTAAGACTTATTTTCTCCTCCTTCTCACCTGTGGTGACCATCATTCAGATATCTATGCAATTGGTGCTTCTCATTTTTTCATTATACTTGTATACTCCTTTATCCAGATCAGTTTTGTTTCCTAAGACTTCTGCTGCTCAGGAGGGTGACCATACTTTCTCTGCTATCTCCCTTTTATCTCTCACCTCTATGATTATTCAGACCTGGACTGCCTACTATATTGTGTTCAATGTTACTTATCATGTACCTTTCCCTTTCAGGATCTCCATCATCATCTCTTCTTACCCTGCTCCTTCTACCCTTACTGGATTGGTCTGTCAACTTCTACAGTTGGTATATACATCATTGGATGCAAATGTTTGCAGGCTATTCCATAGTTCTTCACAACAAGTTTTTCACTTCACTCATTCTCTTGCTCTCCATTTTTGCTAACCATTGGATAAGATCTTCCAGGCAGGCTAGTGGACTATACCCTACACCTTCATCCCTTCTTCTCTTCATCATGTGGCTGTTTCATCTCCTAAAGGCTTTCAACTTCCTCCAATCACCATTCTTCACTTGACCCACCATCTCTAAATAAGTAAGTAGTTTCCCT